TTTAGTCGGCGGCTGTTGGTGGTTGCCGTCCCTTCGGGGCTCTTCTCCCTGTTAGAGAAATACGTCTCTAGCAAACGACGTAGCTCCCGGACATCGTCCTTGACTTCTCATACCTCTGCGTGGTTCTCCACGAGCCGGTGCTCCAATTCGTGGACCCTGGATGATAGCTGCTCCAGATCGCCCGTGACGTTTGACTCTGATACCAAAATGTTATGGGCTCGGGCGTAGGATCTCGTCACGGGTTAGTCCACGGGGTGAACCTCTAGTTTCTCCTTGCCCCTCCCTTTTCGTGCAGACCCTATCGTGGCGACCTAAGGGATGATTTGTCCAAGAGATCACCCTAACTCTCCCTTACTCTTCTCCTTGACTGAAATTTTTGGATGTTTTATTCTTTAATCGCAGCTCCTTAAATAGGAGATTACAAGAGGTAAGAGTCCTCCTTATAGGCTTACAGATAAGCTTCCTAAGATAAATCAACTCCTACTACTCTTCTACTAGTCCTTATTGGAATAGATAAAGTAAGAAAAGTAAGAAACAGATAAGAAAACTGCTAAAGATAAGATAAGCTGCGGCTGGCTAAATAATCCCACGTGGGGCCCCTCATCACTGCTGCTGCCGGACACCTCTTCCCTTTTGCTGCCGGTGGCAGTACTTCTCCCCAACGAACACATCCACAACACATGCACTGTTAAATTCTATGACCAATTAATGGTTTGATGTTATTGTCCTTATCCAAGACCAAGGAGAAGTCTATGATCATCATTAATGGCCTGTAGGATGAAGGAATTATGCTCCAAGAGCAATTTGTTATTAGGGCTCTCATTGAGAAACTCATACAAGAATGGTATGAAACAAAAGTAGAAAGAAATGACATTAGAATATCAAAATAGATAAAAAGAATAGGGAAAAGAAAATGGCTAAAGCAATGAATAAAATGACTTTGAAGGCAAATTTGATTGAAGACAAAGTTGAGAAGAAGCATGAAAGAATGGAGGACTTCACCATCATGGTAACAAATTTAGGAAGAATTCAATCTTAACTTCAGGAGAAAAAGGAGCAAGGGCATTGGACATCACAGTGCAGACTCAACAAGAAGAATTTGGAAATGGCAACAATGACAATAATAACAAGAACCTAGCCAATTTGACTGAATCAAATGTTATTGCTGTGATAGTAATGTCTGAAGTGAATATAGTGGCAAACTTAAAGGAATGGATGGATACAGGTGTTAAAAAGCATATCCACAGCAACCGAAACTAGGCCCACACCCATCATTGGCAAAGGAAAGATCCTCTCCAAGAAAATTTTATCCTTTTTAAATGTGCTACACGTCCCTAACATTTGTAGAAATCTAATCTTGGGCTCTTTACTTAATAAAGTGGGAGTTACATTCTCCTTTGAATCTGATAAACTTGTACTCAACAGAAATTCTTGATAAACTTGAAATCAAGAATGGAAATGCTTCTAATTCTTCTGATTATATTGTTGGCTCTACTAACACTCTTCTATTTATATTGATTTCTGTGAACAATTAAAATTCACTAAGAAAAGTCATAAAACAATATAAAGACGGAATGAGTTACTTGGATTAATACACAGTGACTTAGGAGATATGAAAAGTACTATGTCTAGAGGAGGAAAATTCTATTACATAATTTTTGTAAATGACTTTTCTAGATTCACTAAAATATATTTTCTCAGAAACAAAGATGAAGTAAAAAAAATGTTTTTTGAAATATAAGAATGAAGTTGAATTATGATTGAAAAGGAAGATTAAAACACTTAGAACAGGAAGAGGAGGAGAATATGACTTTCAATCCCTTAAGAAATCCTATGAAGATGCACGAATAATTCATGAAACAATGACCCCTTATTTTCTAGAATCTAAAGGAGTAGTATAAAGAAAAAAACAGAATTTTAAAGGAAATGATGAACTATTTATTAATAAGTTATGATTCACCTCAAAATATATAGGGGAAGCCATAATAAAAGCTTTTTTTTTTTTTTGCAAAATAGAATTCTGAATAGGAAAATTGGTAAAACACCCTATGAACTTTGGAAGGGTTATAAACCAAATTTAAAATTCCTGAGTGTAGGGATATTTATTGGTTATGCACAAAATAGTGCATATTTATTGGTTATAAACCAATAACAATGGATTGCATATTTATTGGTTATGCACAAAATAGTGCATATTTATTGGTTATAAACCAATAACAATGGATTGCATATTTATTGGTTATGCACAAAATAGTGCAACTTATTAGTTCTAGTATTAAAATTCAAAAATAATATTTTAGAACCAAATACTATCTTACAATCTCAAGATGTAGAATATTTTTAAACCATTTTTCCCCATAAAAGGTTTACAATGAATAAGGAAATTATGAGTGATAATTCAATTGCAATATCAAACACCAAAGAGTTAAACAAGAATATTGAAATATAATTTAAACAAAAAAAAAGCAAAAGAGCAAAAAAGGAAATTAGCATGGCTGATGGTATGTTTACATACTTGGTTGATGAAGATCCTAATCTATACTACCTATAAAAGAGCAAATGCCCCTTTTTTCTGGAATTTTCATTGGATGTTTTCTATCCCCCTTTTCTAAACATACAATGGGCATAAAGAGGGCATTTATGTCCCTTACTCTCATTTTAGAAACTGCCCACTTATAACTGTTTAGAAACTGTCCATGAATTATAAATAGTTTTGTCTTAGAGATAATGCCACGTGCAAATGCATGTACATGTTTACTAGTACTTAAAAAGAAGCCATAACTTCATCAAATGCAACCTTTTGGAAATAAGGTATTAATAGTGAATTAGAGTTTATCCTATCAAACTATACTTGGGAATTAGTTGATTTACCCAAAATGGCTTAAATAATTGACTATAAATGGGTTTTTAGAAATAAACTCAAAATTGATGGAACAATTGATAAATTTAAGGCAAATTTAGTTACTAAGAGATACAAACAAAGAAAAGGTGGAGATTATTTTGATAATTTTCATAAGTAAGTAGAATTGTCGCAATTAGAGTACTCTTAGCTATAGCCCCAATATATAAATTAATTATTCATAAATGGATGTCAAAATAGCAATTTTAAATGGAAACCTAGAGGAAGAAATCTATATAAACCAGCCTAAAAGATTCAAGGCTCCAAAACAAGAACATAAAGTATGTAAACTAATAAAATCATTATATGGATTAAAACAAGAACCAAAACAATGGCATAAAAAATTTGACACTATATTGAGTATTAAGCTCTAATGGTTTTGTCATAAATGACAGGATATCTGCGTCTACAAAAAATTTAATGGTGATTCTAGAGTCATAATGTGCTTCTAGAGTCATAATGTGCGTCTACAAAAAATTTAAAATCATTACCCGGTTAAATGCAGTTACCTAGGTAAGTTTTTCCAGGGAAACACTTATCCGGGTAAGTGCATTTACTCATGTTCTTTTATTTCTCAGGTAAATAAGGTAATGGCCATTTTAGTCATAAAAATCCATTATAAAAATCTATATAATGTGCTTCAAGTGTTAGCAGCTTTCTTCCTACGTGGGAATTTATTTACCCACCTAATAAACTTTCCCTAATCCCCACATTAATCTGAAAAATGAACATGGGATTCTTGGTCAATGGGAACCAAAATCCCATTGACCAACTTTCCCCCCTCTCAAAATCCAAAAAAAGAACGCCCCCTAAGAAATTTTTAATGTCTAAATTTGATATATAATATTTAGTCAAAGCAGATGTTATCTTAAAAATGAAAATTTATTAGACAAATAAATGTATTCTATTGTCTCAATCACATTATGTTGAGAAAATTAATTCTTAGAAGCTTTGGACAATTTGATATATAGTAATCCTATTAAACCCCCTCATGATCCTAGTATCCACTTGGTTAAAAATAAAGGCAATGTTGTATCTCAACTATAATACTCCAAAATCGTTGGTAGTTTGATATATTTGAAAAATTGCATTCGTCTTGATATTGCATATTCTAATAATCCCTCTATATTAGAAGGTTCCAATGATGCAAATTAGATTTCTAATTTAGAGTCTAATTCTACTAGTACTTATGTTTTCACATTTAGTGGGGGTGTTGTATCTTGGAATTCTTTGCATAGCTAAATCTACCATGAAATTTAAATTCATTACCTAAGAAAAGGCTAGGACTAAAGTTGAATGGTTGAGAAATCTCTTAAACAATATACCATTGTGTGAAAAGCCATTTCCCTCTTTTTCACTACATTATGATGTAGGAAGGGTTAAAAAGCATATTAGACATGACTAAATCAGACCTAGTAGCTGGCCGAATTTTTAAAATTTTTCTAACCCAACTTAAGAACGGGTTTCCCAATGATTTTGAAATCTGAAATTTCAGGATTGATTTTACATTTAATGAAACCATATTTAAAACAAATTAATTTATGAATAATTCATGTCCACCTGGCTGTTTGGTGATTGCCACTAGAAAGATGGATTTTTAGCTGCAGTCTATTAAAACTGCCGCCAGAGGCCAAACGACTGCCGCTAAAATATTCCTCCCGCCCTCTCTCTCTCTCTCAATCATCCCTCTCTCGCTCTGTCTCTTACTCAGTCGTCTCTCTCCTTCTCTATCCCTCTCTCTCAGTCGTCCCTCTCTCGCTCTCCCTCGCTCTCGGTCGTTCCTCTCTCGCTTTCCCTTGCTCTCAGTCATCCCTCTCTCGCTCTCCCTCGCTCAGTCGTCTCTCTATCTCTCTCCCTCAGTCGTCTCTCTCTTTCTCTCGCTCTCTCTCGCTAAGTTCTCTCTCTCTCTCTCTCGCACTCGTGCTCAAGCCAATAGAGAGTAACATGCCAAGATCGGGGCTAGGTTTAGGGTTAAGGTGCCACTAAAGGTGTATCACATCCCCAAAGTCCCCGAATTGGATCTCACTGGAATGGAAGGGGAGCTCAAGCAATACGTTGGCCTCTGGAAGGGAAAGCGCATCTCTGCCAATCTCTCTTTCAAGGTTGAGTTCGTTACCGAAATTGAAGGCCGTGGCACTGTCAAATTCTTCACCCACCTCAAGGAGGACGAGTTTGAGTACGTCGACGGCAATGATGATTGAGGTGTTATTCCTGACTAGCTTGGCTACTGTGGATGTTATTCCTCTGTTCCTTGCAACAGCTTTTGATCTACAAGTTGATGATCAAGATTCGGTGATATCATCCCTATCGTCTAGAGGAAAAGAGCAGCCTACTTCTGAAGCTGAACCTGCTGTTAGTATTCAGCATATTCCAAGTGGCATCAAAGTGCAATCATCAGGTATTCCAGGACTACCTTAAACTGTGCATTTATTACCTTTTCTTATGGGGATTGATTTGGGTATACCCCTAACAAGAATAGATTCAAAAAGAAAAATTAATTGTTTGAAATCATTGGCGGTATTTTTGTCTTTTAAAGCATGCACTTTCTGACTAATGATTAGAAGGATGCCCCCTTTATCAAAAATGAGATGTGCCCAAATCACTTCACATTTTAATAATATTTCGTATCTTGCTTATGTTAATTTAGCTAGAATCCTCCGTATGACTATTAGTGTAGTTAAAACCAAAGGATCTGAAGTCGAATATGAAGTATAAATAAGTAAATAATCCACTTTTGAGGAAATGGGGAAGGTGATAGGAGAAAATAAATCAATCAAAACATACGTATGCATCCATTACGTCTTAAATCAAAATTATGATAAGAAGTCGGCATTACTTTTGGTATTTATTTGATAAAGTTATGATGAGTTCCATCACATGTTGTTTTGCTTTGTGTGAATACTATCATCCACTTCTTCTTGAAGCAACAGCTTTCCTTCAATGACCGTATAGCAATCCACCCACCCACCCCCCTCTTTGGTAGTCTCTTGCTGCATACTTTACATAGTACAAGATATTATGGAGAAGTAAAGATTGTTTTATCCAAATCCACTGGAGAGATTATATTTTTGATCCTAAAACTAATGATTAACTTATATGAAGTTTTCATGGGACTAGCTCTGAAGTCATGATCTTTATTGAGATCCATTTCAACTTTACATGATTAAATCTGGATGCAAGATTGATTATATTGTTGTTTCTAACCAAGTTATTATAAACTTGAAGGTTATGTATAAATGGGTTTTGTGAAAACCCCTCTTTGTATATTTTGAAGTTTCTACAATGTTATGAGCTCTTACCTTGAGATTATTGAATGGAGAAAATAAAATAGTTCCAATGCAATCAATAACTCAATGCAAAAGATTTTCTTTGGTATGACATTTTTTCTACTCAGGGTGTATTCATCTTGTTTCCATCACAGACAAAGGAAAGAACTGATTATATGTTTGTCTCTTATGAAAGGGTTGCTGGTGGAGGATTGGAACCCATCCAAACAACTAATGAGGCCAGTAATTACTAAGGTCTGATGAATTGATTTTTTTTTTGATAGATAAAAAATTAATTCATTAATCAAAGGATATAGCAGTACAAATAACCCAACATAGAGAGGTACGAGGTGCAGCCTCAAAAAACACAAATTGCAACCTCAACAAACAATAATCAAAAGATATAGCTGTACAAGTAAATTGTTCGACATCATGGTAAATTGCAAGACAATTTGCAAATCCAAAGCTAAAGGGTTCTAGGGATGCCCTGTTAGGGAAATAGTTGTGGAGGTTCAAAGAGCAGCCTAAAAGTTTGTAGAGGAGGCTAATTGTTTCCAAGTATGGCTCTAGTAGAAGAGATTGGGAGATAGAAGATGTAAGGGCCCGTTTGGTTTGTGGGAATAGGGGTGTGGAATCAGAATTGGAATGGCCCATTCCTATTCCAACTGTTTGGTTGGGTGGAATTGGGATCCCGTTCCCATTCCTGGTTGAAGGGCATTCCCCCATTTGAGGGAATCGCCATACCCGCCCCCTCCCTTGGGAATGAGATTTCATTAGCTGATTCCTATTCCTGTTTGAATTAAACAGGCTATGGGAATAGACCATTCCAGTTCCTATTTTGGAGGATTTGATTCCAATTCCAATTCTGACTACAAACTAAACAGACAAAGGGTCCTTTATGAAGGGTGTAAAATATGATGTTGGTAATGGACAAAGGGTCCTTTTCTGGAAGGCAATTCAGAAAATTCATCCTCAGTTTATGAGATTGCTGTGAACAAGAGTGCAACAATATTTATCGAAAAAAAAAAAAAAAACAATAGTGCAACAATGGCTGAATGTATGCAAAGGCAGAATGGGTGTTGTGTTTGGAATCCTCAGTTCCAGAGGAACCTAAACGATTGGGAGGTGAGTTCCTTGATCGGTTTGTTACAGAATTTGTATACTAAGGACAAATGGTGCAAGGGAAGACAAAAGCAAGTGGATCTTAAAGAAATCAGGTGAATATTTTGTTAACTCTTTCTACAACAGTTTTACAAGGGAGGATGTGAAAGAAAGAAATAGCAGAATTTTCGTGGGGAGGCAGGGTTCAAAAGAAGAGGTGTTCAAAAAAGTATTTGGCATGGTATTTTCTTGATTGGCAAATCACTCTCTAATCAAAATCTGACACAAATTCTTTTTTTTTATCAGGATTTTCTTTTTTGTTAGGAACCTGTAAGATTCTTTTGTTTGTTATTGGGCTTATTGTAATTGGGTCAGTTTGGTTTTCCCTTGTACAGAATCTCATTGTACAGGGGTTACCCGTGTATCATGTTTTGGCTTATAATGAAATACTTTACCTTCCAGTTTCATAAACAAATAAAAAACAAAAAAAAACAAAAACAAAAAGGTATCGATTGATCTTGTTACTAACAGGGTGGCTCATTGGCTGAAGACCACAAAGGGGTTTGGGGATTTTAGTTAGAGAGTGGAGAGGTTCTGGTTGAGCTCTGTTGACTCCTGAAGACACAATCAAGTTCAATTTTGCTGATTGCTCATTGGGGAAACCAAGGCCTTCAGAGATTTGAGGTGTTTCCCAGTCACAAGGGCATTTCCCACTCTTTGAGGGGGGTTTGACTGATGTATGTTCCAAGCTTCATTAGAGTGGAAGCAGTAGGCAGTGTTTTAGAAGGCAGTGAGATGTACTCCATGAGGTGAGGCAAAGCCAAACTGCCTTGCCTCAACCTCGTTGAATACATAGTGAGAGGCTTAGGTCTCAGATTGGATGAGGCGCGTGCCTCATCTATACAACCTTATACTTCAGAAGAAAAATATTAAAAGCATATTAGTCTATGATATTCTCCAAAAGTTAAGAAAATTTGATTGTTTATTTGGCTGGACTAAAAAGATCTCACATATATTCATCCATGACACTTGAAAATGGGACCGATCAATCTACAAACTAAAATTGACAGTTATGGTTTTTTTTTAAATCAAAAAATAAAAATAAATAAAATAGAAATTATTAATAGAATAAAATCAAACAAAATTTTCAAACTCCTTTTTATCCACTGACACTTACAAGCCCTTTAGTTCTGATAAGGAAGTTGAATATGATGAAAAATACATTTAAAAAATAACAAATTAGTATATATTGAAAAATAGACTAGATTAAATGCAAATTAAGTAAAAATATTATTTTATTAGACAAAAAGGATATAAATGTAAAAAACAAAATAAAAACAAAAGAATATCATATTAAAAAGAACTTCCATTTAATAAAAAGTAAATATATAAATTGAGTAAAGAAATAAAGTGTATCCATATGTATGGATAAACTAGGAAGTATGCAAATTAAGTAAATGGGTTATTTGATTTAGATAAAGGGAAGGTTCAGGCACAAAGCAAAATAACAAATAAAATTTCAAAATCATAGGATACATGTTAAAACAATGTTTAACAAAGAAACAAATTAAAATAATTATATACATATGTATATATTCACACATGTATATGTGTGTTTGTATAAACAATATAATTTATACTTAGAGGTTTAGTGGGCTGACTCCTAATGTGCCCTTGAGGGTCTTTGGAAGGTTGTGGTTTGTGTTTTTTTCTCTGTTTCTATGTTGTTTATTGTCTCTTTCTTTTCCTATGGTTGTGGAAAGAGGATTTGTCAAGATATGTATCTGGAATTTGAAATCTATTTAATGTAAATATATATATCCTGATAATTGCTCATGCCAGATGTTAATTTGAGTAAAACTAAAATTGATGGTTTTAATACAATTTAGGCATGGGTATTGCTTGTCTTTATTAATTTTTAATTGATGCTAACTCTGTCTGTAGTGGCATCTTTGCCTCATTGGTTAAAGATTTCTTTTTATGTTGTCTATGCATTTTTAACTATAAGCTACTGTGACTATTCCTATGGAATTAAATGTCATTGCTCTTCAATCATCTTTTTCCTCTTTGATCATTCAAACAGGATGATTCATATCTTGAGAGTTACATCAGCACCATTGGAATTGACTTTGTAAGTGATTATTACATATTACTAAATCTTCCTCCTTACATAGGTGCATGGTGCTAAATTGTACTCCCACCTTTTATTTATAGAAAATACGTACTGTGGAGCAGGACGGGAAGACAATTAAGCTTCAAATTGTGAGTATAGTTAAAATTTTAGATGCATTATCTATTCTTGGTTGCTTATATGACAATGGCTATAAGCAGTGTAGCACACCAAATAGTTGTGTTCCTTATTGCCTAGAAGACTTATATGATATTGTTTGTTTTTAATTAATAGTTCTGAATTTTATTTGAGAAATGTTCATCAATCCTGGTGCTGCCCTAGCTGTGGGATAAGAGAATTATTGAAAGTGTGGAACTAAATTTCAATAGATTACCTTAAAAGGATCCAACTGCTCAAGATCGAGGAGAATTTCTGGTCCTGGGTCTAATGATCAGCCAACCTTGTTTTGTTTTTGCCCCAGATAATTTTATTGCAGAGCCCTCCCCATGAATATTGCTGAGCCAATGTTTTTTAGTAGGGTTATCCTAGCTAGAGCCTTTTATTTTAATTCACATTTGTGGTGTGTTTGCCACTGAAAGGGTGGATAGCTTCTGCTTGTCCCTCTGGAATTCATGGCATGATCATGTAATGAACCTTATTTCTAATATTGACTGATTGTTGACCACATATTGGAGTCAATTTGGTTTTTTGGGCACTCATACCTTTTTAGTTGGTGTTTTTTCATGTTAACCCATTCTGCTTGTATGAATTTTGCAGTGGGACACCGCTGGGCAAGAACGTTTCAGGACAATAACTAGCAGCTACTACCATGGTGCTCAGGGAATTATAGTCAGTCATTTCCCACTTCCTTTTCCTTTGTTTTTATAGCCACTCTCTCTACTTGTCATTGCAATTCAATTATCTCAAACTTGGTTGTTTCTTGGGCAGGTGGTATATGATGTAACAGATCAAGAGAGCTTTAACAATGTCAAACAATGGTTGAATGAAATTGACCGCTATGCTAGTGAAAATGTCAACAAGCTTCTGGTTGGGAACAAGTGCAACCTTACAACACACAAAGTTGTCTCTTATGGGACAGCTAAGGTATTACTGATAATTCCCATGCTTTTAGGTGACTACTTTTCTGTTGAAGCAACTCCTGCTCTTCTTGGAGATGTGAAAAATGGTTTCTTCATATTTTCTTTCTGTTGTTTTAGGCCTTTGCTGATGAAATTGGGATACCATTCATGGCTATGGCTGCTGAGGTCAAGAATAGGTACTGCTTATGCCTGCTTTCTATGCATTGGAATAATATCATATCGAATAAAAGGGGGGTTATATGAAATTGGCACACTGATGGAAATACTTGCATTCTCGCGAGAAGGCTTTGCAGTGTAGTATTATGATTATCATCCGTCGGTGTGACTTCTCACTTCTAGTCCAGCATTAGCTGGGTCTTTCAATTACATTTATTTATGTGGATGACCTTGTATCAGCTACCTATATTTCATTTCCTGTTTGGTTTTGGTGTCTGCAGGATGGCAAGCCAACCTACTATGAACAATGCCAGGTCTCCAGTGGTGCAGCTCCTAGGACAACCTGTTGCTCAGAAGACTGGATGCTGCTCCTCTTAGATTGAAATATTTATTGGTACTGTGTCGCCTGCTCAATGGCATGTAAAAGTAGTTGTCTTTTCTTTCTACTTGAGTTCTAAACGACTGATCACTTCCAACCCACTTTATCATGATTTGCTTTTCATTTTGGTTGCTTCAGATTGTTGCTAAAATCCATTCTTTTCAACTACTTGATTCTAAGAAGGCATGTACAAATCAGAAATATTAGTTGCAGTTATTTCTTTTCAGTGTTGCACCCTTCTATCATGACATAATATGTATGGCACATGGATGGATACCAATGCAATTTTGCTTCGCAAAACAATTTAATTTTACTAATTCGCAAAACAAATAATTGGCACATGGTGACCAATTATTTCATATCAATTCAGATCTAAAGCAAATATGTAGAGTAATAATTATTAAATACATAAGCAATGGAAGCTAATTGAACGTTGGCTCCATCTTACCTGATTAGGTTATAATAAATAAATTATTAAATACAAAAGCGAAATAGGCCATTCCGATTCCGATTTCAATCACGAACCAAACGGGTCCTTAATTCTGAAAATAGTATAGTTTAGCCATGATTTTGAAAACAGGACTGACCAGGTTATATAAATAAATATATATATATATATATATATATATATATATATATATATATTTTGGGCTGCCACTAAAAGTGCCATTTAGCGGCAGTCGGTTCATCTTTCTCGTAGTATTTTTAGTGCCAGTTTTTTGTTCTTTACCGGCAGTCGAGAAAACTGCCGCTAGAATTTCTAGTGACAGTATTTTTAGCGGCTTTTTGCCGACTGCCAGTAAAGTTTCTAGCGGCAGTTTTGGAGACCTTTGATTGCCACTAAAAGTCATTTTTCCCATAGTGCCAATGTAAGACCCAAACTGACCCCCCATAAAAAATGGCACAACAGTGAAATGGAATCAATTTGGCAATGTAGTTTCTACACTTCGAAACTCCAATCTTGGGATTGATGCAATAGTGTGAGCTTTCTTAGGTCTGATGTTTTTTTTTTTTTAATTGGCCATTTGGCAAGCTTTTTAGGGAAGATCTTTTGGTATCTCTAACAATCAAAAGGTGTAGTAAACTTTTGCATTCGAAAAATACTAAAAAGATCCATTTGGAGCTTTCCGAAAATTGCCCAAAACGGGCTTCTCACATCCTTTTGGCGCATTGACTTTTGGGCGATAGATCTACTACAGACCAAATGGGAAAAGACACAAATGTGGTCTGCTGGGCTTGTAAATAGCTAACAAACCACACGAAAAGACGTGTCAAACGGGGCCTAGTTAGGAACCGAAGGAAAACAGTCCCTAATAGGGCTGGAACGAACTAGGGTTTTATGGGAGCAAGGGAGTTGAGAAAGAGAGCTTAGGATAGAATGGTTTGTCCATACCTCTCTTCCCTTATACAAAGCACTCTCCTAGTCCTACAAGGAGCTAAATTCAAATTAGAATTAAATTAGGGTTTATCTTTATGGATAAACTCTATCTTATTAAGTTATCATGTGCCTACTTAATTAATTATTTTAGTAAAAAGCCTTAGGCCCATTTTCTTTAATAGCTCATTTTCCTATGCATTTTAAGGCCATGTAGGCTTGAACATTGTATGACATGGAATGCACAAAGGTCTCACACAAGTCAATAAGGGTTTAGTCCCACCCCTAGAAGAGGTTAGGTCGAATTCACTGCCCAAGGGTAGTAAACCTTTAGCTAATCAATTTGGGCTTAGTTGGGCCCAACATTTGCATATAATTAATACTTGGATTTAACCATCCTATGAAAACCCAAGGACAATGGATTTGTGTAAGATGAATCATATCAGGTAATCAGCACTATAATGGTCTCTTACACCTAATCTTTCGACCATAATCATTAAAACACTTCTCATAGATAGGGGTGAGCAAATGGGTAGATTCTACCCAGAATCGAATGGAACCGACCTTGAACTCACCCTACCCAATTTGTTACACGGTAGGGTTTGGTTCCAAATTTTTAGAACTAACCCCCACCTATGTCATTTCTAAAGGGATGAGATCCATCATATGGATGGCCGAACCTTGCAGGAAGGTTGGGCAAAATTTCAAAAATTTCTCTTTCTCCCATGTGGGAATCACATTCCCTATTTTGGAAAACTACATTTTCAATGATCAATCTTGAACCCTAAACCAGACCAGATCTTAAACCAAAAGGTAGGAGAGGGATATACCTAATACAGAGTAGTAGTAACTCCCAATGAAGGTGTTCACGCCCATGGAGATCACCAAAGACTACTCCCATTGAAGATGACACAGTGTAAGGTGGAGCAGAATCAACAAGGTGGTTCTTCAGCAAGAACTTGATTATTCACCAAGAATCCAATGGAGGGCGAGTGAGCACGACTTTAGATCAGTTTTTCTCCAAAAACTGATATCAAGAACCTTTCTTGATCGCTCCTACAAGTGGAGATCGAACTGGCAATGGTGGTAGCAACAGGAGAAGGTAAGAGCAGAAGATGGCGCCAGTCTAACTGCAGCTGTCTTCTCTCTTGTATCAGTAATCTGATTGGTAAATTGGGGTTTGCCCTCCTCCTCTATTTATAGCCTTAAAGAGAGGTTCTCATAATCACATTAGGAGTTTCCTAATCCAAATCTTGTATTTGGATCTGGACTCTCTTTAATAGATAAAGATAATCCCTTATCTTATCTACAGATATCAACCCTCCTAATCTGATTAGGAGCTTCTTGATCCAAATCTCTATCTGGATCTGGACTCTCTGAGTGGATAGGGGCAATCCCTTATCCTATCAGCTGATCTAAATCCCAAAACCGCCCCTCTTTAATTAATCATATTAAACCAGTTCAAATTGGGCTTTAGGCCTATTAATTCCATGTGCTCACTTATCCTCCAAACTGCTGCCCAATTGGGTATCCTTGTATGGCGTGGGACCCAAACATTGATCTACACATCAGCCACATGGGTTCA